ACAGATATCTGGTCCAAACATGATGCTGCAAGTGGCCGAACACCACCCCAAATCAGAAAGTTAAACGTGAATGAGAAAATAGGGTAAACAAACGAAACTCATAGAGAGCTATTATCAACCTGTATTGTGTATCACCGCCAAATTTCTTCTGATCTAATTCACCACTGAGTAACTTCATGTACCCACCACCACAATCAAGCTTCTGCTCATGCTTAACGGAGAATTGGAAAACTAGTGTGTTATCCTTGTTGCTGAATTCAGGGAACTCAGCTGAAATGGCGTAGAATCTGTAATCTTCACTTGTCTGAATACCTGCATCAAAAGATCAAAATGTTCCAAGCTCATAAGCAGAACTTAAAATTCTTTAATCTTTAGAAAATCAAGCATATAAAAAATCACACAGAAAAAACTGCTTCCTTTACCTTTGTCATTGGCGTCCCCATGCCACTTACCGGAGGTGTAATTCCACTCCCCAGCCATGTTCTCATCTTTCTTCCAGTCAGATTTAACCCACTGGCTCTCCCATCCATCTTCAATGTTCCAAGAATGTATTACAACAAAAGGAAATGAGATTAGAATACTAAAGTATAGGCATATGCATATGTATTTAAATAATCAACTTAACAAAGTCAATTGGCCTTGGCCTTTCTACTTTAACAAAACATTCCCCGTTAACTTCTCATAGGAGCATTGCAACGTCAAGAGACAATTTAAACAGTGAGGAAATTATCAATCAAATTTAATTTTCTGGACTAGATGCTTACACGAACCCATGTGTTATTATGAACACATGGAGTAACATACACTCATAATGGAAAACAAGTTCGGCTTCCATCCTATTCAGTTCCAAAAGAAGCTGTCACATTTGACTCCATCCTAATCATCTCAAATGCAATATTTTACAATTGAGCTATCAAATCTTTATTCTATCCACGTTATATGGAACCCACGGAATAACCGATAAGGGTCTTGATAGACACCGAGGTCGGCAAGCTTATAAATACATTGTATATATAAAGACAAGAGCACCTCATAACAACAACAAGCCTTAATCCCAACTTAATCGGGGTCAGCTATATGGATTTCACTTTTCCACACAGCTATGTTCGAAATTAAACTTTCCTGAAGGCCTAAATCTAGAATGTCTTTCCTAACTAGAGAAATTTTCACGTTTTCAATTTGAATGAAATCTTCTGAATAGCTCTCTAAACCTTTACTTTCTGCTATTGTAACTTTTACCATACCAAATATATATAGAAAAAAATGAAATGATGTATACTAATAACTCAAATCCAGATTTCAAATGCTAAAGTAAAAGCTCGGACATTAAAATTGAGATCATAGCTTCCAAATAAAACTCATATCTTGATCAAAGTTAAGAGCATTTCCATTTCCATATCGAAAACCAAGAAACAGATCACAAATTCGTAAGTGTTGAAGATTCATAGATCTACTTCAGATCATCAATGTCAGTCCATTTCCAACTTCTAATCAAACACTAACGAAAAATAACGACCGCAGATCCATAGCAAAAAGGAAAAAAAAAAAAGTAAATCAAAAGAACGTCGATCCTTCGCAAATCAAACGGAATTAACGTATAATGATCGATACAGAACCTCAAAAAACAAAATTCATCCGAAATGCAAGCGAACACCGAAAATTTTGCAGAAACCAAACACGAAAAGATGCAAAAACAAATCGTTGACATAAAAGTAGCCATGGATAGAGATATATACCATCAAAGCGCTCTTCGAAGAACACTTTCGCGGATGCGCTAGCGAGAACGGAGATGAGGAGGATCAGAGAGAGAAGCTTAGGGTTTCGAACCCCGAACGCCATGGCTGTTACAGAGGAAGTAAGAGAGAGAATTGAAACTACAGGGTGAGCTCTGAAATGAGACGGGGACTATATATGAAGATACGCGCGTGGTTTCTACCCTCGGTTGTGAGACCGTGGGTAAAGTCCGACGTGGACAAAATTTATGACATGGACAAACGTAAGATCGCCGCGTCATCAAAGCTTGTCATTCGAGCCACGTGGCGATTTCCGATTGGGTACTACACTGCTCGTGCTGTTGGCAATTGGACGCCACCACGTAGGTTCTTCAGTCTGAAAGACTAGATTTACGATAAAACCCCTCGGCCTCTGGGATTCTATTGGATTGGCAGATCATGGATGGCCAATCTCTGACACGATTGACACGTGGCACTGTAAAATAGTATTCCTTTTAAGAAACACTGCAAATAGTTATTGATTATAGAGCTTTTAGTTTGTTAATTTAAATTTTTAATTTGAGTTGAGATGTGATATTATGTGAGAATTTTTTGTTGTAGTAAAAAAATTAGATGTGATTATTTTTGAGAACTTTTTACTGTAGCAAAACTCGAATTCTAAACTTGAATCAGCGAAATGAACGGGACCTAATTTCATATTAAGGAGACGTTTGGTTCATGGATTAGAATCATGTGATTAGAACCATTTTTAATTTACGTGTATTTTTTGTGAGAGAAAACATTGTAACGAACTATGAACCATGATTTAAATTATGGTTTGAATCTTCCAACCAAACATCCCCTAATTGGCCAAAAAAAAATCAGACTAACCAAAAATAACATTAAAATTCAATAAATATATAATCGTGTCCAATGAAAAAAAAAATCAAATCATGAAAATTTCCATTTCTGGATTTTTTTTTAAAAAAAAATGTTATAGAAGGACCGCTACAACTAAAAATTATATTCGGCCATGTTTTTGCGTTAACTTAAGGCCGTTAAATTAGTATTGGTCTGACTTGTAAAACTGTATAATGGTTGGAGTTCCATGTTCAATTTTATTTAACTGGTCCTTTGTGCCTAACTAAGGGGGGTGAAAAATTAAAGACTCGTTTAGAATGTATATTAAAATTATAATTTTTTATTCTAATCTTTAAAATTTAAATTTTTTATTAAAAAATACTAATTAATAATTTAAGTTTTAATTCATAAAAAAAACGGATTCTAAAACCTGTAAAGGTAAGACTGAAGTAAAAGATTCAACTAACTTTGACAAAATCATGATGGTTGAATTTTTCAAACTAACACTTTGAATTAGATATAACTTTTTTTTTTCTTTCTAGAAAACAACTCAACCATGCATTTAGATACATAAAAACTACACTCTGGACGATGTTATATAAGAAAAATTTACTATAGTAGAGAGTAATTATTGCACTCGTTTTAAAGCTCTAACACAAACTGACTCAAGCCAAAAAAAAAAAAAAAAAAAAAAAAAAAAAAAACAATTGGCTATGAAATTCCGTTAAAACTATATTAGAAGATTTAAGTTAATTAGGTGCATTACTTTGTCTTGGTGCATTTCATGATTTGAACTTTTGAAGGCATCACATCTTTTGAGAAAAGAAGAATATCACATAAATCTACACAAAAAGAATAAAACTAAAACATGTCGTCCTCATGATAAGATATCAATTGAAATTTAGAATAATTTTGCTATTACCTCAGCATCTTTGTTGATACCTTATACTAAAAAAAAAAAAAAAAGCATCTTTGTTGGTACAAAGATACTAAGGACAAACATTCTGGAAATTACACGAATACGTTCCTGTTGGATGAAAATTGTGGTTAAACGTGCGCTTTATACTTTGAAAGTGGAAAATTGGAAACCATGCACATTCCTTAGTTTGTCTATTTTAAAATGTTGAGTTAAACCTACATTTTGATCTAAAACACATTAACGAAGTGCCCAAATTTGAAAAACTTCAAAATGACATAGTCTTTCTATACAGACGTTGATACAGATATATAGCCCCTAACACCATTACAAGGAGTAAAGCTCATACTGATAAGGTCTCATACCAATAATTCATATTTTTAATGGTTAAATATATCAAAATCACTTCAAAATTAAAGTACAGAGAACATGTGATTTTTTATACAGTTCTAATAATTAAAGATTGAGAGTTATTAATCGTTTATTTTTTAAGCACTATAATAGAAACTCCAAAATGAAATGGGAACTGTCTCTAGTAGGCCGTTTTACCAGTATAATCAATTTTTTTACTTTTAAATTTGATTAAAATCAAATGAGATTAAAAAAAATATACAAAATAATCAATTTTTAATATAAATTTAACGGTTAAAAAGGATTAAAAAAAGTAAAATTATCAATAATTTTATTTTTCTATAGCTTTCTTTGCCCCTACACGTAACTGATAAGGTTGTAAGGAATCATGCTTAGTAATTAGGAGAAAACGTTAATGGAAGAGGCACTATTCCATAGCATAAGATTAGTTTTGTCGTTTCATCAAACAACAATTTAAATGATAAGTTTGGGCACTGTAAGTATTTCGAAATCTCTGAGTGGGCCGGCAACCTAAGCTGTGTTTGAATGCTTGGATCAGAAGCTACTCAAGAGCCAATTAATTAGAGGCAAAAAATAGGTGAACCAGCCTTTTTACATGGTTGGAATCGGCTTCTTCAGTTTTCACATAAAACTACTACTTTGTGCGTCGGATCACTATGACTCGTTCATTTCGTCGATTCGAATTTAGAATTTGAGTTTTATTATAGTAAAAAACTCTCAGAAATAATCACATCTAACTTTTTTACTACAGTGAAAAGCTCTCATATAAAGTCACATCTTAACTCAAATTAAAAACTCGAATCAGTAAAATGAACGAGATCATATGAGTATGACCAGTTTTCCACATTTTTGTCAGTGGTGGCCATGGTCATAAGATTTTGGTACTATCTTTACTAGGATTAAAACTTGCCCATGTAAAGTAAGAAATATGGGCTCGTTCTTTTGCAAGTATTCTTGAGTTAAGTTTTTGAGTTGAGTTTGAGTTATAACTTGAGTTGAAGTTGTAACTTGAGTTTGCGTTTAGTTGTGTATACTTGAGTTATAGTTTGAGATAAACCTCTTTTTGACTTTGTATTTGTTTGTGGTAAAACTTGAGTTATAAATAGTGTATATGATTTTTTTTCCTTTAACAATTTTATTCAGGGCTTGTTCTTAATTATAATTTATAATTTATTATAATATTTATTTTAAAAAAAATACACATAAATTAAGAATAATTCTGATGTTAAATCTGGAAACCAAACGAGATCTAACACCACCACCACCGACCCATCCCCACCACTGCCTCTCTTTTTGCTGATCATCACCACCACTGCCTTTGAAACTACAGAGACCTCTGAATCTAGAAACACCCAAAATCAACACAAGCCACATCTCTCTCTTCTCATGACCCATTAACGTTTTGGGTTTGGGGTATTTTCCCTCTTTTTTGAAAAAAATGCTAAAGCTCTCTAATCCAATCTGAACAGTGCACGAGATCTGGAAGGGCGGCGACTAGCGGCGAGCTTAGGGTCCGACTCGTGGTGGACTTCGCAAATCGTGGCTGGACAGGGTTGTTCGCACAGCGTAATGGGTGGGGCAGCGATTATGGTGGAGGTGGGGGCAGCCTATGATAGGGGATCTGTGACGGCTGTGTTGGGGCTGCGACGGCAGGTCTGGGGTGGTGGTGCTGTGACGGTGTGTCTGTGGCGGCAGTCATGGAGTTGCGACGGCTGAGTAATTGTTGGGGGAGGGAGGGTTGTGAGAGTGTCTTGTTTTATTTTATTATTTTAAGGCTTTGTTGTGGATTCAAGTTTTTAATTTGAGTTGAGATATGATATTTTTTTAGAGTTTTTAACTGTACCGGAAAAAGTTAGATGTGATAATAGAGTTTTTAGGCATTGTTTGCTTCGTAGATTCGAGTTTTCAATTTAAACTGAGATGTGACATTTTTTAAAAGCTTTTAACTGTAGCAGAAAAAGTTAAAAGTGATGTTGTCTAAAAACTTTTAATTATAAAAATTTAAAACTGAAAACTTAAATAAATGAAATGGACAAGAACTAAGGGTGCGTTTGGAATTGGTTCCAAAACGTTTTTATTTTCCGTACGAAAATGAAAATGAAAACGTTTTCATTTTCATTTTTGAATTATTTCTGAAAATGCGTTTGGTAGTTTTATTTAGAGATTGATTTCAGTTTTAAAAAAAAACTGAAACTGCGTTTGGTGGTTTCATTTTTGAAAACATGTAATAGTATTTAATATATTAAATAAATAATAATTGAATCACAAATAAAAACACTAATAATTAAGAAAATATGAAAATTACAATATTAGCTTAAATTATTATCGCCTATACGAATCCCACATTTGATTAGTTAGATGATCCCTAAAATTAACCGTGTAATTACGTTGTTGCCGACCACCCATTTCAGATGTTTCTGCTTCTTGTGCATCCATACCATGTTGTTGTTCCTGTTGCCATTCTTGTTCTCCCTCAATATCTTCTATGGGCAAATCGACCTCATATTGTCTAAGTAGAGGATCATCTCGCACGTGCATCTTAATTAAATTGTGGATCACACAACAAGCTATTGGTAAAACATTTTGTCTTGGCATCCAATAATTGGTCATATGCCTAAGAATTTTAAACTTTGCTTTCAAGACCCCAAAGCACCTCTCTATGCAATTACGCAGTGAAGAGTGATAATAATTGAATAACTCTTGTGGTCCCGTTGGTTGACCACCATTTCTAAACTGTTGAATATGGTACCTCTGACCACGAAATGGTGCCAAAAAGCCTTGCGTGTTGCTGTAACCGGAATCCACAACGTAAT